TATTCCAATAAAGAAAAGTCCTACAGACTTGGAAACGTATAGTTTATTTGGACAGGGATTTAAATTGAATCAGGCAAACAGATTATTTTGTTTATTGTCAGGAAAATAAAAGTATGTGACATCTTGTATGGACTTGGTAATTGTTGTCTGCTTTCTTTTGTAAGCACTTCTATTTTATTACTTTGAAACAGCCTCACTTTTTTAATACAGCTATATTGAGCTATCTGACATTATAAACAAAACAGTTAGGATCCATAACTTTTTTAGGAAGGTTAGAACTGATGACCATCTTAGCTGTTGAAGATAGTTATTTGAATGATCTCAGTTGGGAGACAAAGTTTAACTTTGAATGGACTGATGAGCTAATGGCTAGTGTGAGCAGGGTGAAGACTGGAGTACAGGTATATTGTTGACGTGTTCTTAAAACAACTCTAAACTCAGTTTATACAAACACTATTTTAATACCCTTATATTGTTATCAGTCATGCAGAGCTGTCACTTCTAAACGAGAAGGTTGCTGGATTGAATCCCAGCCAGGTGCCTTTCTGGGTGGAGTTTGTATGTTCTCTCTGTGCATGTGTGGGTTTTCTCCGGGTACTCCGTTTTCCTCCCACAGACCAAAAACATGCATGTTAGACTGATTGGTATCTCTAAATTGTCCTTAGGTGTGAGTGAGAGAGTGAATGGTTGGTTGTCTCGTTAGCCTCTATGTGTCCCTGTGATGGACTGGAGACATGTCCAGGGTGTCCATGTCTCTCACACAGGGACTGCTGGACATGGGCACCAGTGACCCCCATGACCCAGAAATGAAGAAGCAAGTAAAGATAATGGATGGATGGATGTTCACAGTTCGGAAGTGATAGTGCTAGCTGTTGCTGCAACTATTTGTGCTTGCAAATATTCATAGAGTTCTATGTACATAAACCATGTGATGCAAGATTGAAATTTCAATTCAATTCACTTATAAAAACATTTTTGTATGAACTGCCATAAATTTTTATATAAATTAGAGGTGTTTAAGCAGAAATACAGTTTGGTCAGAATTAAACAATTTTTCTTGAAACTGAGGTAATTCCAAAAAGGTACTGACAACAGGTAAGATGTTATTTGTTACAAATCTTTAATATTTAGTCTTGGCTTTCTTGAATTGCGAGGCCTCAGTCTCTGATGGAGGGCATTTGGAAACTGAAGTGTACCACAAACCCACCCACACAGACCAGTACTTGCAGTTTGACTCCCATCACCCTTTGGAGCACAAGTTAGGAGTCATCAGGACTCTGTATCACAGAGCAGACAGCGTCCCCACTAACTCAGGAGCCAGGCAGAAGGAGAAATCCCACACAAGACAGGCTCTAGAGCAATGTGGATATCCTAACTGGGCCTTCCTGAAAGCAGAGAAGAAACCCAAACAGGACTCCAGTCAGCCAACAGGTGAAAAGGAGGAACCCAGACCCAGACCAGTGGTCATTCCATATGTTGAGGGAGTATCAGAGAAACTGAGACGTTTATTTTCTAAACAGAACATCCCAGTGGCTTTTAAACCCCAAAATACATTACGGCAAAGACTGGTTCATCCCAAAGATCCAGTCCCCCGGCACAAACAGAGTAATATTGTGTATGCTGTTCAGTGTCAGGAAGGTGATCAGTTCGTTCTACATCAGGGAAACAAAAGTAAACTGGTTGATCCACTATGAGAAGGTGCTGCTTATGACTGCTTGTTGCAGCTCCTCAGACTGAAGACGTCTTTTAGATAAAAGATGAAACGTTTCAACAAAGAAGAATTCGTCCAGAGGACCTGACTCAACCTTGTTAATCTACCTGGATTATTGAGCATGTATCTGGACAGAATTTCAATATCTTTTCATCTGCATATTTGGCCATTTCAAAACGATACTTAAATCAAAGGACTAGCATTCTTTGAAAGAATCCATATCACCCACCATGAAAGGCAGAAACCTGAGAAACAAAAAGGTAAAACACAAAAACGTGACCAGCATCATAATATGTACATCATTAAGCGGGCATTTTATTGATTATATTGTTTGTTTAGTTACGATGTTTTGCTTTTAACAGTTCTATGCTTGAGTAGCATTTATTTAAGGAAAACCATCAAATATGTTTTGTTATTTATTTAACTGATTTAAGCAAAAGAAGATTTGCTGTAGTCAAGACTGATCAACCAATAGTTTGGTTCAATAACCTCCACATACTTTAATATTTTTAATATGATTTATTGTGAAATGGTTATCAAATTAATTGAACTGAACGTAATATGCATGCAATATGTTGTAATTGCATGTAATATTTATTTAAAATAATAATAATTTGTGGGGTCCAAAACGCAAAACAGGTGTCAGACTAGTCCTCAGATTGATTGTCAGTAATGGTAGAAATTATCTTTTTGTGTGTGTTTGAAATCCAAATTTCCATGTTGTTGCTGTTGTATGAACAAAGGTTTTGGAAGTGGGATGAATGTAATATAACACTTATTAAATATGGATTTATTATAGAGTATGATTTGAACAGATGGAGCAGCAAATTGGTGCAGTGTTTAAAGCTCTCTGTACTGAACACGACACCAGACACTTTCCAGGTGGTGCAGATGGAAGTAGTACATATCTTTTTTACTTTTAGTTTTAAGTGTTGGTAAAGATATGCAAACATTTAAACTAGGAAATCCAAGTGCGTGAATAAAGGAAAAACAGTGTCAATGTGTCACTGAAATTGGGTTTGAAAAAATGCGTGTATAAGGCTGTTTTAATGAGCCCTACTTCTGAACAAAAAGTATTGTGGCTTCTGTAAGCATTCACCGACATCTAATGAGGAAATACAATAAAATAATGATCTCTGCTTCTTGTGTGGAAACCAGTTTCGTGCTGCAAGCAGGACTACATAGTAGTTTCTAATTAAACAAAAAGTTCTCTCATTGAAGCAAAAAAAACTCAACACATAACAAAAAACAAAAAAGCCACTGACACTGCTGGAGAACTAGACTGAAATTATTATTATCAAAAGAACATCTGGGGCCACAGTGATAAAATACAGCTGAACCCATCTATGGTATTTTATTCTTTTGATATGAACAGCTTTTTAATAGCATTCAGATTGAGTTTTCTTTCAATTTTCCCTCATTACTGTTTTTTTTTTTTTACCATAATCCCTTTTAGTTATTTGTGCTAAACACACTCACATATGGGCAGCACGGTGGCACAACTGGTAGAGCTGCTGCCTCTCAGCGAGCAGGTCCCTGGTTCAAACCCCGGTCCAGGGGCCTTTCTGGGTGGAGTTTGCATGTTCTCTCCGTGCATGCGTGGGTTTTCTCCGGGTACTCCGGTTTCCTCTCACAGTCCAAAAACATGCATGTTAGGCTGATTGGTAACTCTAAATTGTCCCTAGGTGTGAGTGAGAGAGTGAATGTTTGTTTGTCTCGTTTGTCTCCATGTGTCCCTGTGATGGACTTGCGACCCGTCCAGGGTGTACCCCGCCCCTCGCACAGTGATTGCTGGACATGGGCACCAGCGACCCCCGTGACCCAAAATGGAAGAAGCGGGTAAAGAAAATGGATGGATGGATGGACACTCACATATGTGTGACATAATGTACTCTGCAAAGCATTCAGCAACTGGTGCATGGTTGTTCAGGGCTTTCAGAGTATATATATATATATATATATATATATATATATATATATATGTTTTATGTTACCTGTGCTTCAGTCTGTGTGAGAGCTGCCTTTGACCGGGTCCAGTATTATTTATCCCTCTTCTTCCTATTGGCGTTTATGTGCCTGTTTCTGAGAACGAGAGCTGATGCAGTGAGTTGGAAAGAATTAAGCTGACTCAAAAACCAGAAGGAATGTTTTGGTTTTGCTTCCACTTGGTGAGCCTTGTGGAGAAATTTTCCATGTATGATCTTGTAAATTTATAGTGAGGTTTTCTTTGAAATTACACTTGTACACCATTTTTTTATTCTGCAGTTAATCAATATTGCATCTGTATGGCAACATCATAAAATGTAAATGACTGGATTGTACATATATAGTGCCTTTCTATAATCAAGATATTCAAAGTACTTTACAACACAATGTATGCCCTCATTTACCTCCACACATTCATACAGCACTCTGCTACATCTATACAAAGATAATCTGAATCTGTAGAGACTAATCAGAGCTTTATCACATTCATACATCGATGGGACACACATCAGAGGCAACGAGGGGTTCAGAGTCTTGCTCAGGGACACTTCCACATGCTGGTGGAATCAAACCCCCAACTCTCCCACTAGAGGTTGACTGCTCTAACCACTTATCCACAGCTGCCCCAATAAAATGTTTTGTTTGTTTCTATGCATTTCTTATCGCTTGTTTCAGGGGTTCAAAGCTAAACTAATTCAGACTTTTTAACGCGAGTTACTGTGAAAATGTTAGGAATAATTATCTTACCTATGATAACTCTTGAAACAACTTCAGCTTGGAGAAATAAAAAACAGGAATACAAGAACTTGCATTATTTTGTGCCTTTCACTGTAAAAGTTGTGCTGCTACAATAAAAAAAAATAAATAAAAAAAACACCTGGTTGCCTAGTTCAGAATAGAGCTTGAGAATAAGTCTGCTCTGGATAAGTACCAACATGTGGCAATCATGAATTAGATTTAATTTACTGCTCAGTGAACAATCATTAAGTGGAGCGGCAGTAAAAGCTTCGCAATGCCTCAAGAAGTGCTTAAATGAAGGAGTTTTCTGATGGTTGAGTGGAGTTTTTTAGTCTACCCCCTCAGGTCCAAACCTCTAATTTGTCATTTATGGCCAGATGTCTGCTGGACTAACTACACACCAGTACTGTCTCCCCTACGAATGCAGCCGCAGGGTAGTAGACTGTCTAAAGAAATTTTTTATTCCATCATGTTAAATTTATGAAATGTATCTTGAATATTTCTTGTAGAATATTAAAATTATAGTTTTAATTATACATTATTCTTTCATCTTTGTCTTTCCCAGGTATAGTTTCCCTGATCTCCTTGGTGATCCTCTCCTACGATCGCTACAGCACTCTGACTGTTTACAACAAGCATGGGTCAGGATACCGTAAGCCTCTGCTGGCTGTTGGGGGGTCTTGGCTCTACTCCTTGTTCTGGACAGTGCCCCCGCTGCTGGGCTGGAGCAGCTACGGCCTAGAGGGGGCAGGAACAAGCTGCTCTGTCTCCTGGACGGCCAAGAGCACTCAGTCGCACGCCTACATAATCTGCCTCTTCATTTTCTGCTTGGGTCTGCCTGTCCTGGTCATGATCTACTGCTACAGTCGATTGCTCTGGGCAGTCAAACAGGTAGTCACACTGAGTTTGTATGTGTAATGTGTGTGATTATTTATATTATACATATATATATATATATATTTTTTTTTTATTATTATTATTGGAAGGCAACATAACTGTTCTAACAAAAATCTGCCTTAAGTCACAAAAAATTATCATGATTACTGGAGGATTATGAACCCAGGAGTGCAGAACTCGGGAACTCAAGATATAAGAAATACTGATTTCTTTAACAAAAGAAAATGTCTTGGCTTTTGAGTAACTTAAATAGTAGCCAAAACACAGGTAACATGAGGACAAAATCACAGTTGGTTACGGGAAGCACAATGAAAGGAAGAAACAGAAGAGGCACACTAATAAACTGAATGACAAACACCTGAAAAGAGAGACAACTAGGAGCTATCATGATCTGACTGATGTGTGTGAACCCACGTGCAGGAAGATGAGCGAGACTCCCAAAAAGTAAGTAAAACGTTTATTTTGTAAATAAAGAAAGCAAAATGCTGTCAGAGTAGCTAACTTACTGTATGGAGGACACAAGGGAAGACAGATCACAAAGCCTTAGACAGGACAATCCAGAGACACAGACAAGACACCAAGGGGCTGAATATATACAGACGCTGACAAGGTGAAATGACAGACACCTGTGGTGATTAGGATCTAACACAGGTGTGACAGCGCTGGAACACAGGGAGAAACACTGAGGGGTGACTGGCAAACATGAGGGAAAACACAATGCAGGACCAGACCCCAGAAACCCTACAGGAGCAGGTGAGAGTGGGTTATCTACAGGAGCAGAACTACACAAGAGAAAACTGATGAACTTAGTACGTAAGACCAACAAGATTCATAAAAATCCTAATAATGTAACACAAAAACACAAGATCCTAAAACCTTAATGGCTAATTAGTCAGTTTCTCTAGTAAATTATATACTATTACCATGTCTATACGTATCATCTGCATACATTTGAACCTTTACAATTAGATTATACAAATGGAAGAACATTGACACATTGCATAAGCAATGGTGGTGCAGAGGTTAGAGAAGGTGGGCTTGTGATCGGAAGATCGCCGGTTCAAGCCCCGGTACCGACAATATCAAAAATGTGGATGGGGTAGGTGAAGCACCCACACCTGCCCCCACCCTCATTCGCCCCACCCTGGGCCCATGAGCAAGGCCCTTAACCCCCATCTGCTCCCTAAACAGGTCTCTCTTGAAAATGAGTTCTCGCAGCTCAATGAGACTACCTGGATAAATAAAGGATAAAAATAAATAAATAAATGGGAAACTAAAAATTATTTTATCCTGTAAAAAAAATAGGTGATCATGTACCTGCCTCTGTCATTATCTACAGCCATATCCATAAAAATGAGCCAAACCAAACAGTTGAGTCCATCTGTAGGTGTCAAAAATTGATGAGATTGATCAAAATAACTCAATAAATCTGTTATAATTTGAACTAATTTTAATTTTTCAATTCAGTTCAGTTTATTTATATAGCACCAATTCACAACAAAGTTGTCTCAGGGCACTTTACAGAAACATTCACATACATAGAAAAGCCAATTAGTAAAGTTCTCTATCTAAGGAAGCAGACTCGTTGAATCTTCACTTTGTTGCAGTCTCCCATCCTGAGCAAGCACAAAGGCAACAGTGGAAAGGAAAAACTCCCTTTTAACAGGAAGAAACCTCTAGTAGAACCAAGATCAGGACGAGCGTCTTTCTGCTTTGACCGGCTGGTTTGAGAGGACAGAAAGGAGAAATGAACACAGAATGGCAGGTCCAGATGTAGGTGCAGGTGTACCTGAAAGACAAAAGCACATGTCAAGGATATAAAACATAATTACAGATACAAAACAGGTTGAGCAAAGTGAGTATAGACAGTAGCATAGTGAAGAAATGTGATCAGTTTGTCCTCCTGCAGTCTAAGCCTAACAGCATAACTAAGGGATAGCTCAAGAAACCCAAGCCAACCATAGGATTTATTAAAAAGGAAATTCTTAAGCCCAGTCTTAAAACTGGACAGTGTGTCAGCCTCACGGACAGAAACTGGAAGTTGGTTCCACAAGAGAGGAGCCTGATAACTGAAAGATCTGCCTCCCATTCTGGTTTTGGAAACTCTAGGAACCAGAAGTAAACCTGCAGTCTGAGAGCGAAGTGCCATGTTAGGAAAATATGGAACAATGAGATCTGTAATATAAGATGCAGCTAGGCTGTTGAGAGCTTTGTAGGTTAGAAGTAGGATTTTGAAATCTATTCTAAATTTGACAGGGAGCCAAAGGAGAGAAGCTAAAACTGGAGAGATATGATCTCTCCTACTAACTGCAGTTAAGACTCTGTCAACAGCAACTGTTTTAACAATGTATTAACAGGACTAATGTTGATTGGAGTACCAGGATCGGAAAGAGACAGCTGAATCTGGACAGATCTGGTTCTGTCTATAAAACAAAGTAAAAATGCTGCACAGGATCAATGCTTTAATGAGTCACTGATAAAGAAGACAGTGACAGTGAATGATAACTCATGTACTAAATCTCATCTTAAAAAAAATAATTAAGGAATAATAAAGTGAACAAAGAAAATAGATTTGATCAAACTAATGTGGATCCAGCTAGAGATTAGCCAATGTTTTGGATACATTTTACCAACATTGAAGGGAACATACAAAAAAACAGTGAAGATGATGGTTGGTTGGGGTCACTGAGGTTTATGGAGACGCGTTACTCATCTGAAGTAACAGAAAGCTGTTGAACTAATAATTTATTTTATAGAGTGGTGGAAAGTGGCAGGGTGGGAGATTATCACTGCATTACACCTCAGACAAAGCCTACTGTAAACCTCTTGGTTATCTTCAGCATTTTTTTTGTTTTAATCCATTGTAAAGCACTTTTGGACCTCAGACTGACCCCACAGCATCAATAAGCAGCTTTCACAAAGTGCCCTCCAACTATTAAGAAGTTTGCATTCATCAGATTTGATCAAGTGGTTTCAGTTCTGGTTCATCAAATGTATTGTTTTTGAACCATCTGTTCACCACTGTTTGATTGAATAAGACAGAGTATTTGTTTTAAACTGCACGCTGGTTTTATGATCTATTAAATAGATTATTGTGGTTATTTGCAAGTGGAAGTAGAGGCAGCAGCAGAGAGCTGTATCACAATATTTCCATCCATCCATCCATCCATCCATCCATCCATCCATCCATCCATCCATCCATCCATCCATCCATCCATCCATCCATCCATCCATCCATCCATCCATCCATCCATCCATCCACTATCTTTACCCACTTTCTATGGATTGTGCTTCTTGTCATGGCCTGTTCCTCCATGTTTCCCTGCACGCAAGTTTTGCTGCCACTTCAGATTTTGTTAAGGTATTTATAAAATAAATCCATTAAAAAAAAAAAAAAATCCATTTTTCTTTTATCTTCGTCTGTCTGCATCCTTGGTTCTAAAGCTCATCAGAACATGATAGTGTCCCTTCAAGGCGGTTTAGTTGCAACACTCTGCCAATGTTGAGCTTCATTGTAACAATTTTTTAAACCAGCAGCGTTTTAAGTAAAACTTTCATTAAAGGTTTGTGCTTTAATTCTTTAGTTAGTCATAAACTCATAAACATAAAACTTGTACATTCACAACAAGCTAGAAGTTTAGAAACAATTAGAGGGGATACATTTAATTGTGAAACTGGTCCCATACTGAATAATTATACAACCATTGATAAATAAAAAAACATCACATTTCTTCTCCTGTTTGTACGTAATAAAATCTATTCATAAAATGTTCAAATACAAAAAAATCCCATGAAGATGTTTGTTTGTTGGTGCTGAAAGTTTAAAAATGGCCTTTACAAAGGTTGACACCTCTGAGGTTTTTATTCCAAGCTGGCTGCAGCTGAATGAGACTTTGTGACAACTAAAAATAATCAATTTTACACCAATCTCAGATTTACTGAGGCTCAACAGAAGCTTATTCACAGACATGACAGAGCTGCACGACCTCAACTAAATACTACTGCTACTGCTTTTAATAAAAACTAAGCGACAGTATAAGAACATATAAATCTGCAAAATAATGTAGCTGCGTATATATTTTAACTGAGAGCATGTAAATTAAACTTTGTCTGTGCAATTGTGAAACTTTGCATTTGTTTGTTCAAGTCAGAAACAGCAAATCACCTTTTCATGCTAGTTATGAAGTTGGATTTACTCCCAAAAGACCCTGCCACAGGAAGGATTCAGTTGGGCAAACAAATCTAGCCAAACCAGCATGTGCATAAATATTAGAGCTCAGTAAAGTCAACAATATGAAACGCTCGGCACACACAGAGCGAGAGATGGTGAGGTGGGAGGTGGAGGGAGCTGAAGCATAGAACAGTTTGCATCACGATGCATTTACTGTATGCATGTGTGGGTGTATGTTAAAAATTAAAATGTTTTACTGCTAGACAAAGACATGCACAAAGACAGGACATTGATGTTTTCAGTAACAGTGTCGTGCTAAAATGCTTTGTTATTACTTTATGGTATAAAGGATGAGTTCATCGGTCAATAAATGCACTTGTGCAAAAAATAAATTAAAAATAGCACGCCCACTATTTGTCACATTTTAAAATACCTTGCTTGGGTTAAAGATATAGTTCAGATATTCTGAAGCTGGGTTCTGTGGTAAGTTGTGCACAGTTAATATCTTACTTGTTATAGATAGCTCTATGAACGATCAAGATAAATTTAGTTTGAATGTAGTTTTTAGTAAATGAAAAAAATTCAGAAAGGTTAGAATTGATGAATGTCTTACCTGTTGAAGATAACAATTTGAATGACCTCAGTTTGGAAAATAAATTAACTTTGATTGGAATGATGAGCTAATTGCTGAGCAGGATGAAGACCGAAGTATAAATTATTGACATGTTCTTCAAACAACTCTAAACTAATAGTTTTACAGCAGTTTATATGAACACTTTTAATACCCTTATAATGATGTTTATGGGAACAGATAAAACATCTCAAATGTCAAGATGTCACATTTAGCATTGAGGTGTTCACTCTAGGAATTCATAGCTGGGTTTTTTTTTGTTACATTTTCTTTTAAATCCCATTTTATTTTCACTTGTTATAAAAAAAAAAATAATGTTCCCAATTTGTACGCATCCTTTATGATTGTCTATTGTTGTCTTTGTTGTTAAATGAGTCCCTGAGGCTCAATGGGATTAACCTGTATAAATAAAGGTTGAATGAATGAATAACTTGCTCTCTACTGAGACATTCAAGACAAGTCATTCTAACTTTTTATTTCATTTAAAGTAATGACACCCTCGAAGATATTTTTGTTTGACTACAAAAAAGCTAAACTGACAATCCAAATGAATAAGACTTGGTCTTATTATGGTGCACATGATTTTTTATAGCTTTCAAAACTTCCCAGGGTCATTTAAAAAAAAACCCTGTAAGATATACTATGAAAGACTCCTTGTAGTTCTAAATAAATTGGCAGCACTTATCACAGAAGTAGTAGCTTTCCAACTGTTTTTGTCTGATTAGAAAAATGGTTGGCATTTTCTTTTCAGCTCGCGCCTCTGGAACAGGAGAATATTGAACACTTGCAGAAAGACTCCATTATATTCATGAATTTATCCTAAATGTGAGGGGAGCTGAACTCCTGCAGGGCTAACATGAACTCTGCGACTTTTTGTTGTTGAGAATTATTCACTTTGAACTATTTGAGAATCTGAAATAAACTTGTGAGAAAGAACTGGCCTACGTGTAGCGTCTGAAAATCTGAGCTTGGAAGATGAGTACCCCCACTTCTTATTGTCTCATCTTAGTTTATCCTCATGTCAGTTGATTGGAGGAAATGATGAGAATAAAGGAGAGTCATGTAAAGTCATCCAACAAATTTCATTTGACTAACCTTTAGGTCAGGGGTGCCCAATACGTCAATCGCAATCCACTGGTTGATTGCAGTCGCAAAGGTAGCGTATGGGTAGTGAAGATTTTCGGGGAATCCCTCCACGGAGGTGTGAAATGCTCCGCAAGTGTGAAGTTGCACATGTGCACTATGGGCAGCTGCAGTCCAAAGATTTTTCCTGCACTAACAACAGTTATAATAAATGGCAGAGAGCAGAGTGTTTTTGTGCTGCTCACCCTTTTTCAGCATGTAGGAGCAAAACTAATAAAATCCAGGGTCCAAAGTAACGTGCGTTGAGGATTGTTACAGGTGAGTCACTGACTCTTCTGGAACCAGATGCTCACATATATGAACCCAAAACAGAAGCTTATATTTCAATTTAACTTTTTTCTCCATTTTTTGTTCTTCCTCTCTAATACCTTCTGTTTCGACTGAAAACCTAGTTTAGAAAAATTATTTAGTTTTGAGATATGATCTTCCATTTTGTCTAAACAAATTTAAATGAGTGTATCATTTGTTACACCCCCACCCCTCTGCGTAACAGAATAATGCACAGCGACTGCACCTGCTTCATTGTCCCTATGGGGCAGCACTGCACCCTATCGGTGCGGCACGGTACTTTCTGCCTCCCCCTGTGTATTTTCAGTGTGCATTTATGATAGATTAGAAAGAAATGTCACACAAATTCATTCAGTATATTAGACAGACTGTAGAACATCAT